TTTCACATTTTTTAAGATATATAGGAAAATTGCACAAATTATAAAGGGAATGTTTTTTTTTAGCATCCCCAAAATATGCCGATTTTTAGAGTTTGCCTTACGAACTTTTTTACTTGACAATTTACCTCTCATAGTAATCGAAACTAACAATTTGTCTTCTTGATTGAAGACCCTAATATGGCACCAAAAGTTTTTAACTCAATTAACGATAAATTTAAACTGATATTTAAAATTGATAAATGGCTTTTATAGCCTATGACGAGACGAACAAATTGAGGTATAGGTTGTTCGCTTTCTGAAAATCGATACATCTGTAATCGATCGACGAAGACAGTAGGAACACGGATGTATATAAAAAATTTTAAGTTTTCTGACAATTAAGATATCCAATTTTCGATAAGGATGTGACATTTGAAAAACTTGCGGGACCAATTTATAATGTGTAAATCTTATCAAAATACAACAGCAGGATCTTGATCAGTAGTTAGAAAACTATTGAGAAATTGTTAGCTTTTTTTATGCTACTAACCAAAATCCGACCGTTGAATTTTCATAAGATTTACTTCTTTAGAAAACTCGTCTTCCAAACTTTGAATGACATATGTTAATCGAAAATCGGATACATTGATTATCAGAAAATCAGACACATATTTTAATCCGATCGCATTAAATTTTGGCATATTTTTTTCCTACTAGTTTTGGTAAATAATTTTTCTTATTATATATATAATACAAGGTTTTAAATAGCGGGCTAAAACGTTTATGGCACTGTAGCTATAGCGGAGTTATAACGACTAAATTGCACATGAATACAAATAGCGGCACGCTGCCAAAAAAAGCTATTTCTCAAATAGCGGCAACTTTAGCGAGCTATTTATTTCCTTGATATAATAATATAATATAAATATAGATAGACATAGATATAACATCTACAAAAACATAATTAAGAATATTTAAATAAAAAATATTATAAATAAAAGTACAATAAAATGTGACATGATTGTATAAGATACATTTTTGTTTGTTCATGAGACTTGAGAATTTGTGAAAATGAAAAAGTAATTATAAGCGACGTGGCAGCATGAGGCCCCAGACCAGATTATTTTAATCCGGAAAGTGACAGTTGTGCCACGCTGGCACCGGCTCATCGTGTCCGTTGGATGAAGATCAGATCCTACGGCTGATTTGACGTTCGGGGAAGAGAGAGAAATCGACGCCGTCCAACCCGGCTCTGGTGGAGTAGGTTTCGCGTGAAGTTTAACACAAGAATAAAAAGCTAACAGATCAGATGATGAGACGATAAAAGAGAACAGAGCTCACAGAGGGAGAGAGAGAGAAAGAGAGAGAGAGAGAGAGAGGCATCTCGAGCAAAAAAATCACAGCGAACACCATTTTCTTCGCTGTTATTGGGTTTTCCATTTTGTTTTGTGGCTCCATTGAAATGGTGGGAATCCATGGAATTCATGTGATTTGAGCAAGTGATGAGGAGAAGCAGAGATTTGCGAGGTGCTGGTTCTAACGTCGACGGAGCGCTGAGGAGGAGGCAGAGGGTTGCCACTCTCAGGGATTCATCGGGTAATATTTCTGAATTCAGATCGTGATTTGTTTCTGTAAGTGCCGTTTTGAGATGTTTTTTTATTTTTGGCAGACGAGGTTGAACAGATGATGGTGTTGAAGGAGACAGTGAGGTTGAGAGATCGAGAGCGATTGCGGAAGAAGGAGAGGGGTCGAGATTTATCCAAGAGGAGGAGAATTGAGAATAGGTCCGTGGTGCAGCAGAGGAGTGGCAGCGGAGGCGGCGGTTATGGTGGTAGAAATTATAGAGAGAGCGTGAACGCGGACTCGAGTGATGAAGAGTGCTTTGAGGAGGGAGTGGAGATGAGAATTCACCAGCAGAATATGACCACTCAGCTCCCGCCGTCGCCTAACCGTCGGGGTCTGCGTACCCTCCTGTCGTCGCCGGTTCTCAGAGTCTCCGTCAACGAGGTGCTCGGAGTTTCTGTACCCCGGCGAGCTCGCTCCGGTAAGTTATGTTTCCAAGAGTATTTTGGTCAATTTCGTCGAGGTTCTATTTTTCTATTTTTTTTTATACCTTTTGTTCGATTTTAATGTTAAGTATCTTTGTTTTGTTTTATTTTTTCAAAATTTTGTATAGCATCAGTGAAGAAGCTTCACGAGTGGAGAAATTCAGGCAATGGCGGATTTGGGGAGAATCCGATCGGCCGGAAATATTCGCCGTCTCCGGCAACGGCGCCGTCAAATTCGAAGTCGTCTTCAATGAGTCAAGACGAAATCGAGATCGAGGTGGCTGAAGCTCTGTTCGATCTGATGAAACAGTCTCAATCTCAGTCGCCCTCATCTGAAACGGAAGAAAAAGCCGATAGAGGTAGCAGAGATAACAACGATGAAAGTATTTTGCAATTTATTCTACTTATCATTTTTTTAAGTGAGAGATAATTAATGTGGATTTTGATGGATTATATGGTAAAGTTGAGAACGACGCTTTCCAAGTTGAAAACGAGCAAGCCATAAAAGAGGCGAATAAAGCAGCTGAAGATCTGGTTAATACAGATGGGTCTGTGGTTAGAGGAAAAGTGGGGTCTGCAGAGGAGAGAGAGTCACCATCATTTGTTAAAGCAGATGCTTGTGATATTCAGTATCTGACAGTGACAAAAGCGTGAGCATCTTCTTTTTTCTGTTTCCTTTTTTTCTCCCCTCTCTCTCTTCCACCGTTCTCCAAATTCTGTAAATTCAGGATTTGATTATTTATCACTAATACAGCATTATGCATTTTGTTTCATCTCTAGATCTATCTTAAATAAAGCTGATCATGTTTATGGTGGTGCATCAGGGATTATGAGGGGAGTGTGGTTGAGGATGGGACTAAGAAGAGCTCCAGGATAGAGATTGATTTGATGGTGAGTTCACAATACAAATGTTTCTTCCTCTTGGCGCTGTTTATGATTAATTGTTACTTTCTTTTAATGGAAATTCTGAGAAATAAATGTGCTTTCTGCAGGCCCTTCCATCTCTGCCATCATCCCCTGAGAGAGACACCTCTGTCGATATTAATTCCGAAACTATGGCTCAAGATGTTCAAAAGGCATTGCAATCTCTTTTCAGTGTGGTTTTTATTCACGGTTTTATTTTGGTTTAATTTTTCGTAATTTGTCTCTGAGACCATTATACTTACTAATTCTCGTGCAGAAGAGTGAAACATTGAGTAGCAATCAGTCGCTAAACCTTAATTTGGAACAGCAAAGGCATGATACCTCGAATGCTAGCAAAAGCACTTCACAGCCACAGCAGAGCCCGAAGGAGCCAAAAATTAAATGTACAGCCCCATGATGAAGCATCTAATCCTATAAATTTATCTTTTGAGAATTTTTTTTGGTTCATTGTAGTGCTAACTGTTTATATACATTCCTTTTTGCCTCTCTCTGTTGGTCTAGGTAGCTGGCCTGGTGTTCTTCCTCATGCGGGGTGTGTATTATATAATCTTTTTACATCCAGTTTTCTGTTTAATCTTCAAATGCCCACGGGTAAACATATTGTATTGTGTGTAGGTATGTGCCGTCTCATCGAGCAGATTTACCCCGGTCTTCACTGATAATGCAGGTAGGTTTTCATAAATGCGAAATAGTTTGTTTCAGTTTTTATTTATCAAGCGATATAAAAAAAAGGGCTAAAATATGCAGGCCCCAGAGTTTAAATTCTTGCAGCCTCGACCCAAAAGATGTGCGACACATAGGTATATTGCCAAGAACATTCATTCTCACCATCAGCTTGTTCAGAAGTCCCTGTCATCTGGGTTGACTGGTGTTGGCACTACTTTGTACGGAATCAAATCATCAAACATACAATCGAACCCTCTGATGGGAGACTTTGAGCGAGGGCAAACTTTGACGGGTGGTACTGGAGAAGATAAAAGCTCTGGTGTAGCTGCTGATTTCAATGTGACGACAAGTGGCAAGTCTCTTCTCCAACAAGCCCCGAGCCAAGCTCAAGCTCAAGCTCAAGCTCGTAACTTTTTGGTGAGTGTTGGTTTTCATGTTCTAGTTGTTGAATTTCAAATAAAAAATACCCTTTTTGAGTTACCGAAAGGGGCTTTGTTGTAGTTACAATAAACCTTGAAGTAGAATTTCTAAGTCATCCCAGAAAAAAAAAAAAAAATGTAGATTCAAAAGCTTACTATGTGCAAAAATTTTAATTGCAGCACAACCCGGGTTTCACATTCTCACTCGGTGGTCACCATCAAGCGGCAATAATGGCGCCACCAAATTCATTAACAAATAAACCTCCAGCAACCTCATCCGATGTGGAGACACTAAATGCAGGCACCTTTAATCGCTCGTTTTTCCCTTCCAATGAAGCCACTTCTTCATACATAGCAATGCTACAGAATAATGGCTATCAGTTTCCTATTCCACCGAATATTGCTCTACCACCTTCTTTCAGAAGTGGATCCATCTTAAACTCATCCCTGTACTCCCTGCCTGCTTCGAAAACCGATGCAAATAAAACGCCACAAATGGAGAGGAAAAACGGCGCCTCTGCTAGTAATAACAGTGCAGCCCAGATTTATTCATTTTCTGTCCAGCCAATGAGCTACGGTCAATCCAGCAACAAGCTGCCTCCGGTCTTGCAAAACTCCGCCATCTTCCAGAAGCTTCCAGAACCATCATGGAACGGTGGTAACAAGAACTTTCCATCATCTGACGAGAGATCTCGTAATGTTGGTATTCCTAAAGCCTCTTCATTCCAGACTGATTATTCGCCCTTGATTCCGAAATGGGATAACTTCTCTAGAGCAGCAAAAGTTCCGGAAGGTTCATTTCAGTTTTTCGCGCAACATATTCCTCAGACAAAACATCTGCCGGTTCAGGGTCATGTTATGTACGGTAATAGTCTGGAGGGTTCTCAGAGGTTGTCCCCGGCTTGTCGAAGGAACGTGCCTTTGGTTTTTGGTAATGCTGCAAGCCAACTTCCCGAGCTCAAGCATTGATTTATTTTAATATATTGAAGAGTTTGGAACTAGTGAAAGGCTGTAAGAGTGAAAGAAAATGAAGTTGAGATGGGAATAATATATTGAAGTTAGGGTTAGGGGGTTAAAATTTTTCTTTCTTTTGGAGAATTTTGGTGAATTTTAATTAAGAGATGGCTGTGTAACCCCACACCTACACTTAGTGGTTGTGATATATATGATGATTGGGTTGGTTTTCAGTGAGACACACTGATTGATGTGTTGTGTGTATAGACTATATAGACTAATCTGATAAATCATAGTTCATTCTTTCATGAGTTTCATTTCAGCTTCTTTATTATTTCTGATGAGGAACAAAATCATGACTTCTTGAATTTATTTTATTATTATTTTTTTTAAATCATGATTTTTATTTTTTTTATTTTTTATTATTATTATTTTTTGTTTAAATCATGACTTTTTTTCCTCACAAACTATTTATTTTGCCACTCTGTTTTCCATTTTTTAAAGTTGGCAAATTGTTTTACAATATACAACGTTTACTTCAAGATTGTTTTTAATTTTTTTTTTTAAAACTTATAATAGTCCAAGCCGAATAAGTTTATTATTATTTATTTATCTTACGCAAATTAAGCCTCATTTTTCCACAAAAGGCATGTGATTCATAAGAAATTGCATTTGGTATGAAGAGACAAATCCGTACTACACGTTGAAAACTAAAAAAAAACCGTGCTACAAAAAATCAGTTATCTATTGTGTTATGATAAATGATTATATAATTTATAGAAATGATGATAAAAATATTATTACTAACAAATCATGTTTCACTATGAGAGTGCAAGCATGATTAA